TTTTTTATTCACATCCAAACAAAACATATTTTGATATCAGTAAAAGATAAATCGATTGTTAACTAAAGAGTTTTCATTACAGGCTCATCCTCTGGAACTTATCTGCCATAGTAAAGTCACGAAGACGCGCGTGCTGTCTTTGTTTCTTATATCCGATCAATAATGACCAGCATTTTGAAAGTAACGAGAAAAAAAAAATCGTAAAGATGTTTACGTTGCAAAAGTTTTATCACGTTTTCCCAAAGTTTTTGGTAGGTCACGTACTTCGTTTGTTTTCCATTGTCTATTTTCAATCGAGATAAATGAAATCTTATAAAATTGACTTTTCGAGAAGTAAGTAGATGGTCACTCATTTCATTCTCTAAAAGAGTGAGAAGCCAAACAAGTCTAGTTTATTTCCTGAAAGATAGCAAGATACCACTTCTGAGAGCTTGTAAGTCGAAATAGTGTTTCAATCTGTCAAACGACGCTGCGTTTATCGGGTTTTTGGCAGGCATCTCCTCTCGGCACGAGCTGTATTTGGTCGCTAGGAGTTAGTCGCGAATGCACGTTTCTGCCACTTAAACAATTCGCTTATCCATTGAACAGTATTACAATGAATTAAATGGCGATAGAAAACCGTACAAAGCTAATAGTTAGTAAAATGTATTTCAATTACAGTAAACTTGCCTTATAACAATTAAGTAGAATGTTAATCTATCCAGAAGTCCCCCGGTGTGACAGCGGTAAGTCTACAGACTTACAACGCGTTCGATTCCACGCGGTGGACACAGAAGATAGCCCACTGTGGCTTTGTTCTAAAAACAAACAAACCATTCAGATATTGTAGACTGAAGAAATATGAATTCACACCATAATTACAAATATTGAATGTGATAATTACTTAGTGTTAATAACCTTCCATTGAACTGTAAATAAAAATAATTAAGTACTGTATAAAAAAATAAGTTATATAAGTTTTTGTTGAACTCTATAATTAACACAGTAGAAGTTGCAATTATGTTCAATAATATTAAAAATGTCAGTCAACATATTTATCTATTACTATTTAATTATCCAATGTGAGTTATATTGATGAAAATAGTTTATGGATTCTAAAGTTGAAATTAAAAATAGCATAAAATATAAGTGGTTTACAAGACATAGGCAGTATTTCATATTTGCAATCCTTACTCGTATATTTTACCAAATATTTGGTAAATATTGTTACAAACTGTTATTTAAAAATACGCGTTATTTATATGACCTAAATAGTATTTCATATTTATAATTCTCACTCATTTTACACATTGTGGGCAGAAAACAGATCTAGATAACTCATTGCTAACAACAACGAAACGTAAACTTATTCATTTATTGCCTAAATATCAAATAGAATTATTACAGACTGTTATTCTTTAAGAATTAAATCATCAATAAAACCATTAAAATTATATCATGAAGTACTAAATTACTATCCTAAGAAAACCGCAGTATTGCATTGATCAACTGTACATTCACTTGAAACATGACTTTTAATTGCAGGAAGATGAAACTTTAGTTTTTAAATATGTATGTCCATTAAATCATTAACTATTACTGTAGAAAGATATCGAAGTCAAGTTAAAAGTCAAAATACAATTAGAATTTTATATTTCATGTGTGTGAAATAAAGAAAATACTTTTGCAAAACCTCTCAATCACACACTGTGCTAAGAAAAGTAAAGTTATTTTAAATGCACTGAAGTATATTGAATCATGAACGAACACACCACTGTGAGGCGTGTTCATATATTAATGTTATTGAATATGACGGTAGTATTATGTTTGATAATGAAGGTTTTTTCATGTGGAAATAAATAAATTATCTTATTATCTAATAAGTGTTTAAATATATACATAGGTTGGAATATTTTTGTTATCATCAGAGTAATCTCAATGCCCCCAGTGAAACAGCGGTATGTCTGCAGACTTACATAAGTTAGAGTGCTAGAAGCCGGGTTTCGATATCCGTGGCGGGCGGAGCGCTGATAACAAATTGTGTAGCTTTGTGCATAATTAAAAACAAACATCTAATCTCAACCAGTGGGCAGGTACCAGAGGATTGGAGGTTAACTAATGTAACTACTCTATTCAAGGGAGGTGATAAAAATTGTCCCAGTAATTACTTTAGTCTTACATCAGTTGTGGGAAAAGTTTTGAAAAGTCTGATAAAAGATGCTTTGCAAAGTCATTTAACAAAGTTTAGAATGTTATTGGATAGGGAAAATTTTGCTTTTCAAATCTTTTGACATTCTTTGAAAATATTACTTTTTTATGTAGATGAGGGTAAGAGTGTAGATTTGGTGTATGTGGGTTTTCAGTAAGCATTTGACAAGGTACCACATAAAAGGCTTGCAAAACATTATCTCTATAGGTGTGGGGGATATGTTAGCAAATTGGGTAGGAAGAGTGGCTGGATGGAAGAAAACAGAGGGTTGTTACAAATGGAGTTCAGTCAAAGTGGATTAATGTCACAAGTGGGTTACCTCAGGGCTCTGTCTTAGGACCTTTGCTCATTTTGATTTACATCAGTGACATAGATGGAGGAATTTGCAGATTACATTAAGATCTTGTGTGTTGCTAGCTGTGAAGAGGATGCTGCTGTTTTACAAAATGATTTAGATCATGTGAGTTTGGCAAATAAATGACAAATGGGTTTTAATTATAATAAATGCAAGATTATGCATGTGGGTTATCATAATTTGAATTATAAGTATAATTTGGTTGGGAATAACCTTAATAGTGTCATGAAAGAAAGGGATCTTGCTATAATAGTTGATCAGTTTCTAAAGCCATCCAAGCAATGTGTTGTTGCTAGTGGTAGGGCAACTAGGATTTTAGGTTGTATCTACAGAAATATTTAATACAAGTCTAAATGGATCCTGGGATGGAGGGATTGTCATACAAGTAGAGGCTGAAATCTCAGAAGTTGTTTTCTCTTGGAAAAAAAGAAGTGTTAGGGATTTGATTGAGGTGTTTAAGATTGATAAGGGAATTGATAGTGTTGATACATCATCTTTTTCATCATACTTAATGATGAGAATGGTAGAACTAGGGGACACATATATATATTTTGGGAGGGTAGGAGTCATCTTCAGCTAAGACAGTTTTATTTTTCTAACAGGGTGGTGGGCCTTTGGAATGGATTTCCTTCAGATGTTGTGGAAGTGGAAGCAGTAAATTTAAGTGAGTTAAAGAGAAAGCTTGATAAGTATATGAATTATAAGAGCTGGCTTTAAGAATTTTTTATTTTTTTTAATTTGTCTATTAATAGTTTTACTTTAGTTTAGAAGATGAAACAGCTGAAATGGAAAAATAGGTTCAAAATGTTATGTTATAGTAATATTATTAAGCTTGTATGGGTTGATGGGGAAGGTATAATTTATTGGTATTATTTTACAAATTCCAAAAGTTTTTTGTTTGTGTATTGAATTTTGAATTAAGGGAATATTCAAAGATCAAAATGTACTTCTGAAATTACTTAACACTTAAGTCCTGATGAGGCTTTTCAGATTTATTGTTTTACCTAAGTGTTAGTCATTGTTTTGAAAATGAAACATTGTAAATGTTCTAGTGTTTGCTATAATGAGCATATTTATATATTTGTTTCAGAGTAAGAAAGATGTATTAATGGTCAATGTCAGATGGTATTACAGACTCTGTGAAGTTCCAGAAGCAGTTTATCAATTACTGGTTCAAGACAGGAACATTGAAAATGGTATGCAGTCTGTTATGGATAAACAAATTAACCTTAGTCTTACATTTATAAAAGTTTATAAAAAGAAAATATTATATATATAAGAGCTGTTTTTATAGAGTTACTTCTATATTAGAACAATGCAGTATGTGTATTAAGCACTATTTTGTTGAGTGAATTGTTAAGCCTAGTCATAGTTCCAAGACAATGAAACTTATAATCTTTAGTTCACTTATATAGTTTAACAAAAGTCACTATGAGTTAAAATTTTATAGTGCTGTTTTTCCTGTTGATATTTATAAAATTTATTCTTAACTTCTATTATTGTAAAATAAAAAATTACTTTAGAAATAATCTAATATTTAAAAATATGAAAAAATATTTCAAATACTTTATTTTGTTTTCTTTCAAATTAATTAGCTGGAACTATATATATTATTTGTTCAAAATAATTCATTTAAATTTTCTGTCATTAGTTGTCTAAATTAAACATATAGTGAATGAATTAAGTGAAATTTTAAAGATGCACTTTTTATACATAGTAATGGAGCATTTATAAAAAACAATAAAAACAGAGTTGAAAAATATATATTTTTACGTCTCCGTTTGTTAATTAATTTTCCGTAACTTCGTTCCGACGAAACTTTAGCGACACAAGTCCTTACTTAATAAAACTGGTTTATTCTTTCTGAATATAACTTTACCGATACACTTATTTTCAACAGTCGCTCTATAACAAACGCGAGAACGTCTCACGTGCTCGTGCTCGACAATACTTAGTTCAATTACTCACTACCTACACACACATTGTTCCGTCACGTTGTCACCCTCTTATATATATACCAGACTACCCTATATCTAGTAATCTCCCGACAATTCACGAAGGTACAAGATATTTCCAGAAAGCAGGGGGCGTGACACTAGTCACGTGACCTCGCTGACGCAACAATATATATAATGGGCTATACTGAGCTGAGTCAATAAACAATTATTCTGTCAACCTACCTATCAGGCACTCAATATATCTACATATTACCCTCTAACATAATCTTTACAAGATCAAATATGACCAAACAAGGTCAAATAAACATGTCCTGAATACTTGGACAATTATAATACTGTTATGTCTTCGTTTGTTAATTGATTTTCCGTAAC